AAATTTAGGGACTTTGTATCCCCTTGGTAAATCAGTATGCATTATACAATCTAATATAGGAGAAGCGTAATTTGGCCTCCTCATTCCCATATTGAGGCCGTTTTGGGTCATGATCCTTTCTATCATGGTGGTCAGATTATTTTCTGCCAAGATGTTATCGTTTCGAACCCTATGAACGACAGCATCGGCATCTTGGTTTCGACCAACCAAAACAACTCCCCTAGGTTGTTCTCCTCGAAATTCTGGGGCTTCTGGTCTTTCGATCCTTGCCCCTGGTTCCATAACTTCCCTTTGTGGGCCTGGAATTATTGGGGCTTCTAACCTTGGTGCTCTGGCCCCTAAGTTAACCTCTTCTCTGGGTGGTCTATGAATTGGGTCGTTGGCAATTTGTTCTATAACAGGCACGTTTGTTCGAAATCCCGCCTGGTTTTGCCTACGCCTTTCTGTGGGAGCAAAGAAATCTGCTATTCGACTCATATTGTCAGCGTTTTCCCTGTTCGTCACAGTTACATTCTGAACTATTGGGACGAATATTTCCTGCATGGTTTGCGCTAACACCCCTATCATATTGTGGTTGCTTTCATCCATCAATTGCCTAAAAGCCAACTGGTTATCCGTGGTTAGGGTAGGCAACGTGCTATAACCCACTGACCCTTGGTTATTTGACATAAATTGGTTTGCCCCAGACCCAGATCCTAGTTGTGGGGATGAATTCGATGTGGAATTGTGCAAACCTGCCATAAAAGATGTTGGCATTCCGTAAGAAGAACTTCTAATTCTATTCCCATCGAAGCCGGGTGGTCTAGTTGATGGAGATGCGAAATGGGATTGTGTCCCAGGTGGCGGAACGAATCCCCCAGGATAGCCCATAGTTCCAGTATTTCCTAAGATCGAACTGTTGGTTGATACGCCACTTACTCCGTTGGTGGCCATGTTACTGGTTGAAGATGCAACAGCCTGTGCATTCGAAGGCATTACATTAGATGCTCCGCTCGAAATGGACGCGTTAGTGCCTGTTGCCTGTGGGCCGCCTTGGTCTCCTTGTTGATTGTCTGAGTTAGACATTTTGTCCAAACGTTTTCTTCTGGATAAAGGTTGGTTGCTGTTGATTATCTTACCACTTCTCAGGTTCATAAAACAGCAAACTTCTTATGTTCCTGCGTTTCTTGGATGGCTATGTCTTGACAATCCTTAATTCTGATATCCAACTATTGGTCCCACCAGGTGTGCCAATTTGTTTCCAGTGATTTCTGGAAAACAACCGCTAGTCTTCCAAACTATCGAATAGTCTTTATTAACGCTACTCAATCTCTTTGGTAACTCACAGGATCGACTAGATTGATCCTAGGACTCCTTGGATATCAAGGTTACTCTCACAATCGAACAATTATTCATGGGTGCTATTGTATATATGTTTGGTTTGTTTCGATCCCTCTCTCTAAGAGTTTAAGAATGTGGTCAAAATGTATGTGAAAACTAAGTTACACGAATGATTGCTAATTGTAATGCTAATTGAAAAGACATAGAAAACTGTATGAAAAATGAAGTAACTGATTTCGATCCATAAAACATTTAACACAAAAGGTTTCTGGAATGTAGAAGTTTAAAATATGAAGAAAGCGTTTAATGCAAGAAATCTAGAAAGGAGTTTAAGTGAAAGTACAGGTTTGAAGAATAATGCTATGAAAGTAAAGATATTGAAAGCGTAAAAGTTCTCTGAAACATAAAGTGCTTCGAAATGTAAAGAAAGCAGTAAAATGTAAGACTTTGAAGAAAGGACTTTGGAATGAAAAGACAATAGATAAAGAAACTTGTAAATGTTGCTCGACAAAAAGAAAAAGAAGGAAAGTGCTGGAAATAGTAAAAAGGCTTTCATTAAATTAAAAATACATGGTGCTATCATACATACATCTCTCTTGCATTCGTTTCCCTTGCCATGTGGTAGTTTGAATGTTATTGAGTATTTTGTATAACAGATATGACACACTGAAATCCTAACACTAAGACTTCTATTTATACTAATTCGACCCTAACGGTCTCGCTACAAGATCATGCCACGTTTCGAACATGCAAGATAATGTTCCCTTCTTCTTTCCACGTGTCCTCAAATGCTCCAACGCATAACTTTCAAACTTTGAAAGTCCCGCTTTCACTTAAATTTCAAGTGCTTTGGTGTTCTTCTGCTTCGAACGCTCTTCTCAGATTTAGCTTCACTGCTGTTTCGAGACCCCTTTGAATACGCTCCCAAGATTACCGTTCGAAGCTTCAAACTTTGACACACTCATTCGAAACACTGGTTCTGCAATTTCGAACGTGGTGTTTTAATTCCATTTCGATCATAACTTCTAGCTCTTTTTGAATTCCAAATAACACTATCAAAATCTTCAGCCAACAGTAAGCTGAGTTGGTTGGTGAATATTCTTCAAGTTGGCCAATGTCTGGGCTAAGGTGAGACGGCGATGGGCCCACATCAAGATGTCGGATGTATGATCGTTGTTCTTGGTACTGTAATTGTGTGTGAGACATGTGTGTGTATTGATATTGGTCTTAGGTTTGGGGTTGAGTACTGGTGGATTTGTATCGTCGTTGTGTTTGGTGGGAGGTTGATGTGTGTTGGGGTTGTTGTTGTGTGGTGTATGATTGTACCCATTGTGTGCGTGGATCGATCAAATACATCGGGTGAGACACATGTATTTCAGGGTTAGTAACCGATATGTACCAATTAATTTATTGATATGTGTGTCGCATATTAATTTTGTTGCGGAAAACAGGAAATTGTAAGACATTTTAGGTTCATGGTCCAAACACACGTGGCTCCACAACCTGGTCTCTGTTTGATCTCCGACGGATTGCATTTATTAAGAGTGCATACAATAATCTTACGAATGGTTGACATGACCCTCATTCTACGCATGTCTGCTGCATTAAACATATCGTATAAAATTTCACGAGAGAGATCAAAGACAAGACTCTTAGGAAAATAGTTATGAACGCGGAGTATGCATTAACACAACCTTCGTTCAAACACTATCACAACGATATCAGATTGTCAAATCCGGATACAGGTAGGTGGATTGATAATATTCCAGTGGAGAAATGGACAAGGTCATACGACAATGGACAACGATGGGACCACATGACAACAAATCTTATCGAATCAATGAACGGTATATTCAAAGACATACGAAACCTCCTAATAACCACTTTGGTAAAATCAACATATTTTAGGATGACTTCGTTGTTTGCAAAAAGAGGTGAAATGTGGAATACGGTTTTACAATGGGGACAAGTAAGAAGTGAAAGTTGCATGAAATTAAATATATTAAGGCAGAAAGTGCCAAAGCCAACACTCATCTTGTTCTAAAGTTTGACCGGCATAACCATAACTTCATTGTCAAAGAGACAATCGACCACAACGAGGGACTGCCAAGACAAGAGTATAAGGTTATACTACCATCTTATTGGTGCGATTATGGAAAATTTCAAGTCTTTCATATGTCTTGCTCTCATGTCATTGCGGCATGTACGTATACCCATCAAGATGCATTACTACTTCTATCACCCATTTGCAAGTCTGAAACCTTGTTCAATGTATACAACATTGGTTTTCCAATGGTAGTGAAACCTAATTATTAGCCTGCATAAAAAGGAGAAATAGTATGGCACAACGACCAAATACAAAGAATAAACAATGTCGTCCCAAAAGCAAGCGTATCACAACTGAAATAGACTCCATTGACAAGCTAGAAAGAAAGTGTGATTTATTTCGTCATGTCATGTCAGACACAATCGAAAAAATTATATCACTCGTGCTACAAGCTCAACAACATAAAAATTGTATGCAAGTTATCTGCACTTTTTTAAGATGTAAACGTAATTTTTTCTTCATTAAGAACATTTGTTACAACAAATCATACGCAAACAACAAATAAAAATACATCGTCACCATTACGATAATACAACATATAAAAATAACAGAAAATAACGTATCCATCTCTGGTGAAAATCATGAGAGATGTCATGATGCAAAAAACATAGAGAAAACGAGAAGAGAATGTGAGAAAGTGTGAAAAATAATTGAGAAATAAATATTTTATTTATAGAAAACACAATTGCACATAACAACCATCTCAGATGGTGTCTCATCTCCATATTATAGTGCATGTACCATCTCAAATAACTAAAAGAAAATACATGCGACAAATGAGATGACGCCTAAGACAAAAAGGTGAGTACATGCGTCAAGTGAGATAACACCTCCATTAATATATATTTTAAAATGTAGTTGTTTGCGTAATTTTTTTAAAATATAATTATGTATTTTTAAAAAATATATAATTATTACTAAAAAAAAGTTAAAAAGATGGAGAAAAAGCACAGTCCAAGAATATTCTCACGTTTCCTAATCCCAACTTCTACACCAAAAATTCCAGTTCCAGTACCAATTACTTTACAAATAATAAAAATAATAATAATAAAAATAAATAAAAACCGTGATTTACACGGAGCAAGAAACGAAAACTGTGATTGGTAGAGCCACGTAGATACATATCCATCCATCCACAGTTTTGAATTAGCGAATTTCCTAATTTTGATTAGTGGATAACCAAAACCATTACCTTTCTTTAATCCGGGGTTAATAGTATTAGTTAGTACTAAGTAAGTTTATAGTTGAGTTCACACACTTACACGATGCCGATGATACATGACATGACACACCTAAAAAAAAAAGAAAAAAAAAAGTAGCGCAGACGTATCACGTAGTAGCAAGCAAAGCATAGTTTTGACTTGGAAAAAGTCATTCATCCCTTCATTAGTTGACCGACTTCACTCATCTCTTTTTTTTTTTCCCTCACACCAAGTCACCAACTCATCTCATTCACTTCTACCTTGTTATTCTTTTGTTTACCACACCCCTATATAAACCCCCTTACCCTCCTCACTATATCACCCACTCATTCATCTCATTCTTCACTCAACACTCTTTTTCTTTCCACCTAATGGCTTTAGAGTTACGAACTATGAATTCTTCTCCAACCACAGAAGCTGCTGTTCCATTCCCAATCTTCAAAAACCAACAACAGAATCAAAAGAAGAATCTTGAGCAACAGAAACACGAGTCTCTGGTTAATAAGAAAAAACGATCAAAACGACCGCGGATTAGTAATCCACCCACCGAAGAAGAATACCTCGCTCTTTGTCTCATCATGCTCGCTCAAGGGAACACCAACAACACCAACGAGAGTCTATCTCATCAACAAACTGAATCATCATCTTCACAATCACAACAACAACAGAATCAAACATCTCCACCGCCACCGCCACCGGTGAAGCTGAATCACAGGTGCACCGTCTGCAACAAAGCTTTTCCCTCTTATCAAGCACTTGGCGGCCACAAAGCCAGCCACCGCAAATCCTCGTTAGAAAACCAATCCACCACCGTCAACGACACCGCCACCGCCATCCTCTCAACCGTCTCCACCACCGGAAAGATGCACGAGTGTTCCATCTGTCACAAGAGTTTCCCTACCGGTCAAGCTCTCGGTGGACACAAACGGTGCCACTATGAAGGAGTTATCAACAATAACAACAACAGCAACAACCACAACAATCACAGCAGTAACAATCAAAATATCAGTACCAGCAACAACGCCAACGCTAATAACAGCAGTAACATCACAATCTCTGACGTTACCGCCGCGTCCTCCTCCACCAGTCACCGCGGCTTTGACCTCAACCTTCCTGCACCTCTCACTGAATTCTGGTCTCCGGTAGGATTCACCGCTGGTGATTCCAAGAAGACCAAACTTAACGTCAATCTCGCCGGAAATAATGAACAAGAGGTGGAAAGTCCGTTACCGGTAACCGCCAAACGTCCGCGTTTGTTTTCCGATGAAGACAATGATGAAACGGTGTAGTTTATTAACACACCGTAAATTTATTTATTTTTAATTGATTTAAATTTATTGTTATAGTGCAGTGAATATGAATCGCACATATTCTAGCACGCACTAGCTAGTTTCCAATTTCTTGTTTTTGTTTTTATTTTTATTTTCTTTAAAATTGGGTTGGGGAATTTTGGATTAGATTTTGTTTTGTTCTTAAGTTTAATCTTTATCTGTACAGACAAAATTTGTTCATTGCTATTGGATTCGTCACTTTCATACTCATCCATTCAATTTCTTTATTTAGTCTTGTTTACAATTATACTACATATCTTTATTCATTCACTTTTTACTTAATGAAATAATCGATTATCATACGCGGTATTAAAACGATTTAATAAGAAATCAAAAGTTGTTGGTTGTACAGGTACTTAACCTAAATTAATTGAATTGAACATACACATTAATTGGATTGAGTCAATGCTTTTACCTATAAAATAATCTATAACATGTAGGAGTATACTTTGGACCCAAAGTATCTACTACAATAAAAGTCATTTTGACAGCTTAAATGATCTGTCTCAATACTAATCAGCTTAATGAATTTGAAATTTGAAAGATTAAATTATAATTAGACAAATAAAAAACAGTGTTGTAATGAAGGGATACACATATAATTAGTTGTGTTGTAGTGGCATTTTTAGGATAATGGGCAAGGTGGGTTGAACCGAAACCTTCCCATGTGGTTCCTATCTTTAATGCACATGTTGGTATCATTATACCGAATTTACAACCGCTTTATTTTGTGGCTAAGGATACTTGTTAATTGGGTTGGCAAATCTAACCACCCACTAATTAATAGTGTAATAACAACTCTTTGTATATATCCATCATCCAGAATCTTGTATGTTAACACTGTACACAATTTAGATTAAGCAACAGAAAAAGTTCCCCTTACTCTACTTTATTTATCTTGCGTAATTCATATTAAAATATTGAGAAATGGATTTGGGGTAGTTCCAAATAGACAACCAAGAAAAAAAAGTCCATTTAGAACATCTACTAAGTTTTTTACTCCCCGTTTTTATATAACATTTGAATGTATTTCTGAAATATTTTATCCGGATCGAGAAGAAAATTGTAGTATGTAAAGATGTCTTGTGAGAGAATTAAATCCAACTGTTTAATTGGATACAACGAGGTTGGAACACGACAGCCAAATATTCATGTGTATAGGTCAAGAGTCGAGCAAAATGTTGATCTGAGGATGAACTTGGCTGAAAATCTTGAGGAACTTCAAACTCTATATAAGTTCCGTATGATTGATATAAGTGTTATGGAACCTTAATTGTCTGGAATTCATGGTGATGACAGTTGTTACAAAACCATCAATAGAAGACGAACGTGTAAGGTCACTTCTTTAAATATTAAGAGTGTAGGTAAGTCTATAAAAGAGAGCTTGTGGGAGGAGGTGGATAATATGGAACATACAAAAAGAACATAAAAAAAATGCATATCATCACTCATTTGCAACTCTCCATGATTACTAGCAGGGAAGTTACTCTTTTAGTGTTTTAGCAAGAACATTTAGCGTCCATCGTGGAACTTCAGTAAAACTTGCCTAGACCGCACATTAAAATCACATTCACGAGCATGTCTACTGGCAGAGATCTTCCAAACATGGCGCACTTACTGGCTATGGTGGATGCTCTTCGCCAACAAAATGAGACGTTGAAGGACAGCGTACAAATTCTACAACTACAAAGTGAGGTGGATGGGGACCAAGAAGAGGAGCTTCTGGACCCTCGGCCATTCTCCCAAGCAATATGGAGCGATCAGGTCCCAAGCATCAGACTCATACACCATTCGGAAAGGAGTTTCGTGAGTGGTGGAATGGGGCCGACACAGTGATATTGGTAAAAATTAAAACTCCGACTTGGAGATGAACCACTTTTGAGGAGGTCATTAACAGAGAAGACTCGGACAGTTATGCCGACTTGTTAAATGAAGTCAGAGAAATGGCACAGATCAGGGAGTTTACTGTCAAGCACAGGTTAGCCCGGAGGTTCAACATGAAGGTAAGGCAAAAAGGGTTTCAGAGAAGTGACTTGGTTCTAAAAAGGATTACTGATTCGAAAAAGAATGGAAAGTTAGCTCCGAATTAGGAAGGCCCTTTCCGGGTGTCATACCCCAAATTTGACCCATCAGATAATTATTTTATGTTATTATTTTTCAAATCTTTCACATGTTCAAAATTGTTTGTTTTGAATATTATAAATTGAGAGTTTAAATATTAGTAAGAGGAATATGTTGCCTTAATGGACCATCAAAATATGATGGCCCATTAAGATATTTATGGCCCGATTATAAATAATAAGAAGGGTGTGTGTTTTTTTTAAGAGTCCACAGCTACTTTTTGTAATGGTCCATTAACATCTAATGGCCCATTAGAATTTTCTTAGAGAAACCCATATTTCTTTTTTATCAATTATATTGTTATTATTTTTATCGATATCTGATTAAAATAATTTTCGTTATATAAATATTATTAATAGTATTATCAAAAAATCATTTTTACTAATTAAAATCATTATTATAATTACCAATTTCATTAATATTATTTTTAATATCTTTTATCATTATTATTTTGATTAATGTTGACCAACTCAACAAGGGTCTTTGAAACCCTAATTCTCAAGATACAACAGCGACGCCCTGTTTTGTGTCACATTAAGTAACCCAAGAGAAACAGATATTGTATAGATCAAATCCTTCATAAAAACAAAATCAAATAGGATATTTACAAATGATTTGAATCAAATCTTAAAGATTGGATACAAAAAGCGTTTTATTTTGAATTTACATAAGATAACGATCAAGTACATTCAAATCTACAAACCCTAAAACAAATTATACAAAATCAGATTAAACCAAATCACTAATTGATTCAATCACTAAAATATAACGACAATCAAACATAGAACTTCCTAATTTGACTAATTCCTGACCTATATAAACCCTATGAATTAAGACTAATAGGGGAGATAAGAAATTTTGGAGGAAAAAGGATCATAATAGGGAAGAAGAAAAATCCACAAATCAATCCTTCAGCTTGAGATCTGAGTTTCAATTTCTGAAATCCTAGATCTATGTTGCATCATCACCGCCGCACCATCGTCATACCTGCAAACAGAAGAAAAGGAAAAGATTAGAAGACAGACGAGGAGAAAACAAGACGATTCACGACAAGGATCAAGCAAGCCTAATCACTTAGCTTAGGGTTTGTTGTTATTTGAATCTACGATTCATGTTTGGTTTTGGGATTTTGGGGTTTCTAAAAGAGTTAGGGTTCATCACTTAGGGTTAGGGTTCATCCGTATGGGGTTAGGGTTCTCAGAGTTTGTGTTTCTGGGTTGGATAAGGGTTAGGGTTCTCGGGGTTTGGTTGAAGATTGGGGGTTAGGGTTCTTAGGATTCTAGATTTCTGGGTTTTGGCACGGTGGTGGGGTGTGAATATTTGAACTGGAAAATTGGATATAAGGGGTGTTTTATGGTGGCTCATGGTGGTGAACACCAGCGGAAGCGATTTCCAACTGGATGGACAATTTCCAATCGCCTAGAGAGAAGCGAGAGCCTCTATCTCTAAAAATATAACATGTTTGTGTTTTGGATGTAGAGATAGGGAGAGAAAATAAAAATGGGCCTTCAACCCAGGATTTTGTTTATATAACACCCCTTAATTTGGTGCGCCTCCCCTACCATATGTTTCCCATCACAATCCTTTGATCATCATCAGATGTCTCTCAAACGCGTGCCCACTGTAACTCTGTGTATTCATCCACACTCTGTCTAAGGACCTAATATTTGCTTTGGGTCCAACCCACTACTAAGCGGACCTTTCAAATTACTCTCTCAATACAATTTACACTCCTCTTGCGCTATTGGATCTAGTTCAATATCTGAACTTGAACCCTTGCTGAATCAACCCCCAATTTTGCTACGTAGTGGAAATCTGCACCCTCTTGTAACTTGGGCCTAAATCCAATATTTGGATTTAGGGCCCTGTTATCTGCACCCCCCTGAATTACTCAGCCCAAATAAAATGCACCCCCTGCGTTTTTAATCAATTTTATTTTTTTATATTTTATTTATTTATTTTATTTATTATTATTAATATTTTAACTTTTAATATATTTATTTTTCTAAAATTATTTATGTATTAATTCAAATCTTTAAAAACACTAATTCATTAAAATATTCTTGTTGCATTAAAATTATTTTCCTCATGCATTAAAATATTCTTCCTTTTTAATATATTTAAAAATATATATTTAACCAATCAAATTACTAACAATTTTTCACTAACATAATTAAAAATACAAGATATCATTTTCAAAAAAGGAATATGGAGATATTTCTCATTGACTGCGAACTTCGTCTAACAACTCCGCTATTCACACACCCAGACTTAGTTCAAGGAGAATTTGAAATATCTTCATAATCCATAAAAAAACACCAACCAACTGCAAACTACGAATTGGGACTCTGATTCCTCATAAGAGGATACATAGACATACGACTAAAATCGTGACGAGTTCCTCTAATAAAAATTATAACCTTATTTCCTAAACTGTAAATCTAAACCCTAGTATCCTTGTGAACAAGGTAGATGAGGGGTGCATAACACCTTCCCTTCATCTAAAAACGAGTCAACAACTTAGAATCTTTGACCAAATTAGGATTATCCTTTATATTCCCTTCCTAAAGATAAAAACTAAGGGTGACGACTCTCATTTTCAAACCACTTACAATAGTTGGCGACTCTGCTGGGGACTCAACCTTAGGGTTAGAGGCCTTTCTTTGGATTTAGGGTTTTAGGGTTTTTCTATTTTTGTTATCTCTTTACATTTAATTATTATTTTGGTTTATTTATTTTTTATATATTTATTTTATTTATTCATGGCGGGATTTTATTATTTCAAAAAACATTATTTTCAAAAAAACCTTAGAAAGAAGGTTCGTCTATTGGCCAAG